AATTCATGTATTTTACTGTCTTACGGCTCAGAAAATGCTGGGAATAAACAGAATCAAGACCATAATGTAAAGAAAACAGCACTAACACAAGTTGCATTTCTTCATTCTGCCGTAAGACATCGTTTCCACAGGGTAAAAACGCAGCACGCAGCCCAGTGACACGGTGCCTTTAGAGTATTTCCTGTTTAATTGGATCATAAAGCTCAGCGTTTGGGAAACCTTTTTTATTTTTTTAATGGGAAAATATCTGTTATGAAGACGCATGGAGCAAAGCAGCTGTAGTCTGGGCTTAGGGCAGCCTGAAGGGTTTATTCTGTGAGGGGAGGGTGCTGCTTTCAGTCCAAACCTCAGCTCCTCCACCTGCTCCCCACACCATAACCAGGGCTTGTCACACTTTTGTTCCTCTTGTGCCACCTTGAGGGAAAAAACCTCTGGTGCATGGGTAGGATTTGCTGAGTTTGCTGCTGCCCCAAAATCCAAACCCTCTGCTTTCAGCCTGGGTTTTTCCTGAACATTTGCTGCTCCCGGTTCTAAAAACAAAGAAGAAAGTTTTGGGTCATGGTTCCTTTCTATCTTGTCAATGCTACTGAGAAAGGCCAGGTTAAATCCTTAGGCCTGTCCCTAGGGATGTCACCAGGAAGGAAGGAGGAATTTAATCAAATCTCTTGGTTTCTGTCTGCACAGCCTCCACAAGACTCATCTGGTGGGGTGGCTCAGGCTGGCTGAAATGAGCCCCACCACCCACATCTCCCCCTTGGAAGCTGTCCAAAGGCCCTTTTTGTTTTGCACAGCTTTTCCTGTAGTTCTCACTACTTTGTCTACATAGAAAGGTAAGAAGGAGGAGGAAGTAATGAGAATAAATAGGAATTACCTCTGCAGACTTACCAGCAAAAGGTTTCCTTTTAAGTCATCTTTAAAGGACATTAAATGATGCTGTAAATCCTTCTGCTTGCCTGACACCATCTCCAGAGAAAAATCTAGCTGCAGTGTGAGGTGGGAGAAGTCAACAGTCCCCTGTATGAACAAATCCCTGTTGCAGTGGGCACAGAGAAACTGTCGGTCTCCAAAGACTCTTCTGTAGATTGTCTCAACTTCACAGGCTTCTTCATGGAACTATCAAACAGCCTCCTTAAGGTAACCAAACCACTTCTGCACCATAAACCTTAATGGAGCTCTGAACTAGACATGCCAAAATTACAGCAATTAATAAAAAAATAAATTCTCATCTTTGCAGCTTCTGGAGATTGCTGACCTAGAGATGCATGCTGTGATTTTAATGCAGTCCCTGGCTTCTTGAAGACCTATTATAATGTTTGTCCTGTTGATTCCAGTCATTGGGTTCATGGATGCACCAAGAGTACTCCAGTGTCACCTGTAGATGATGCTTTAGGTCACACAATGTTTTTTTCCACATTGACCATTAGGCAGCTACATCAACAGAGACTCTACTTGCTTCCATTCACATGGGAACAAGTTGGAAACTTTGTGATGTTCACCAAATAGATCCTTCTCTTGAAAGCCCAGGTACTTAGTGCACCTCACACTTCACAGCAAGAGGCACGAGTTAGGCACACACATCCTGTAAGCTCCCCATCCAAACAGGCCACAGGACCATTGCCATGAGAAGTTCAAGAGATCCCAAGGACAACTTCACTGCCGGACTGAAGAGCTGCCCTCACACCTTGTGCTAGTTGGCATCTTCTCCAAACCCATAGAAAACCTTTCCAAATCAATGAAACCCACTGCTGATCCCTCCCTGGCTCAATTACAGGCAGTTTCTCTTTCTGTGACTGCTCTGTTAGGGTTTCAGGGCAGAAGGGAAGCAATGCAGGAGGACTTCTGCCCACCCCCAATGAGCAGGTAGGGCAAGACCAGTGTGGGTGGAGCTGGTGGGATGGTGAAGTCTTGCCTGCTCCTGGAAACACAGCAGCCCAACCTCTCAGAACCAGGATCCTCTTTCAGCTCCTGTATCCTATGGTGGGCACCAGCCCAAGGCTGGCCTCTGACTTGGTTTGTTTTTCCACCCCTCGAGCAAGCCTTGGCCTCCTGCACAGCTGTCTGAGCAGCTGCTTGTGCAGTGGAAACCACACAAACTGCAGCTGGAACCCATCTGGCAGTGAACAACAGCACTGAATCAACCAGGAAAATACCTGGTCAAGTGAAAAAGTTACCTTCTACTTGAGTTATCATCACTATGCTCTTTCAGTACTGTCCATCAGCTCCTCTTCGGGCAATAGAAACGAAGGTGGCAAGAACTGAGTGAGGATTTGACCCACAAAGGTGGCCCCTCTGAAAGGTGGCAGATGTGTTTTGGAAGTCTGTCACCTCCCTTCCAGTGGACAAAACGACTTTTGTCTCCCTGGGCCTATTTCTGAGCTCTCCCAACAATTAAGTTTTAAAAGTTGCCTTTTTTCCCCCCCATAATTCATAGCCAAGAACACACAACAGAAACCAGGCAGAGTTGAAAAATATACTGGTCACTTTTTATTGAGCACCGAAGGGGCAGGACCTGTACATGTCTAAGCACCAGAGGCACAAACCAGGAAGGGGCTGCCTGGGGCTGCTGCAGGTACTCAGCTGCTGCAAGGCAGAGCAGCTCCACTGGCAGCACTCGAGGATCTGGCAGGCCACGAGCATTGCTAGCACACAGTGACACATGGAAAGTTTATTGTAGCACCAAACATGCCTTAAAGTGTACGTGGAAACATGAAAACCCACCTACAGTAGTGATTTCCTGCTGTGCTCCACAAGACTGCTGTTGAGCCATTTGTCTTTGGAGAGAAGACAAGGTGAGGACAACTCATTTGATCTGTGTTTTCCTTTCCACGTGTGGTGGATGTCAGTGTTGAAAACACAGCATGCAGCCAAATCTCTCCTTTGGCTTTTGTTTCTGAGTTTGACAATGGATAACTTGAAAAGAACAAACTTGAACAAAACCCCAAGCACCATAGCACCATGAGGAAGGGTGATGCTTTGGAGAACACTCAGTAAACAGAAATCCAGCAACAAATTCTTAATTTGTCAGTTTGCCTTTTTAAAAAAACTCCTTTTTGCAAGTAGAAAATGTCTTTGCCATCCCATCCAGCCAGGTGGTCAGGTATGTGCTTTTGTAGCTATCACAAAGCAGCCACTGTAGTAAATGTCTCCATTCTGTGAAGCATACTTTTGGATGCTTTGCAAGGCTGGGTTAAGACCTGAAGTTTTAACCTTTCAAGTTTGTTAATGCTCCACACAAGTTTTTCAGCTAGATCCTCACAGCTTTTTAGGCACTGAATATTTTATTTTAAAATAGAACCATTTGGCATTTACTCTTTGGGTCTTAGAAGTAACCACTGAAGGGCTTTGCCCATTTAATTAGAATTTGATTTTTCTGCAAAAAGTGATGCTGAAAGGAATCAGCACCTGAGTGGCACCTAGTAGCAAGGCTGCATTAAGATTTTCATTATGGGCTGTGCTGCTTTGAATTGCCAAGTAATGGCAGTGGCAAAGTGGCAAGTTTCTGGCCAAAACTGAAATGGGAACTATAAAATATGGATGAACTCTTGTCTCTCAGCAGGACTTAAGGAATCATTGTAGGAAGCTGTATATGATAAAGTTCTAGAAGTAAGTCTGTCTGAATATGGTGTTGCATTTAATACCTAGAGCTTGGAACAAAGGCACAAAGAAGTGGATGGAGTTCAACAAATGAAGATATTTAGGAAAATGTGGAGCCCTTTATCTGTTCCTTGGCTCTGTAAAGCATCAAGGAATGGTGGCTGTTCCTGATGGGGAGCAGAAGAGCAGTTTGGCACCTTTTATCTCCCCAGCTGCAAATGCCATGTGCAAAGTATCAAGTGTTTTATAGGCGTCTTAGCTTTGGCTTAAATAATTTGGTGAGTGGAGAAAAAACAACCCCATAGTTTGTGGGTGGAAGCAGGCACTTGCATTTGTGAACTGGGTATTTATATACACTGCTACTACTCTGCCTATTGAAATGCTAACTTTATGCATGCAGATGAGGATATGTACTAAACAAGGGAGCAAACGTGGCTTCTTCTGCCTAGCAATTCTGGCAGATCTGTCAAAATGAAATGCAACTGTCCCTTTAGGACTGCCACAGGAAAGGAAAACGTTCAAAGGAAATGTGCTTTCCATTTTATAATGCTAAACAGCTAGAAGAAGCTGTAAGGCCCAAATACAAATAACTTGACCTTAAGGATTTATGGAAGTCAAAACAGAGGTACAGGACTTCTAAAGAGCTGCTGTCCATCTGCCAGACGATCCCTTTCATCACACAAATTGATCCTGCTTTTGCTTTTCTAATATGTGCAAGAGATAATCCAGACTTCAACCCTCTTGCTGAGGTTTTGCAGGTACAAAGATGCAGATCTACATTTTGTGAGTATTAACTATGCTGGCTAAACCCAACAATTTCAAAAGACTGGCATGCCTGTGTGCCTGCTCAGCTATTGTAGAAAGAAATCTATTGCATCATTAGCTCTCAATCTGCAGCTCACCAGACTGAGAAGCTAGAGGAACATAGCTTAAAAAAAACCCATTTATAAAACCTGTTTTGCTCCCAGCTCAGAGTTCCTCAAATTCTTAAGATTTCAGGTTTAGGCTCGTAGACTGGGTGTCAAACCTGGTGAATTCTAGGTATAAATAGGAAGAGAAAAAACCTACAGGTTTCTTTGAACTTTCAACTTATGAAAAGGGTTATTTAAGGTAGTTTTTTTTGAGATAGGCAGGCACTGGGTTTGATCCAGAGAGCCCCTTTGGTCTTACAGCCTTGCCTATTTTAATACAACTTAGATATGAGATGTACAATTCTGATGTCACTCCATTTTTATATGACTTATGTTCATGGTGGTGAAATCTGAATCGGTCACAAAACACGCACATAAAGGGCAGGCTCTGTTCCAGCAGCCTGATAAAGGCTCTGTGCCTTACAGGAATCTGCTTGGAGGTATTTGCATTTCTTTGGTAGCAAGGCAACTCATAAATGGTGTGGTTTCTTTCAGAGGGACACATTTCTCCTCCTCCTGATAGGGTTAAACTTTTGACTTGTCCTGTTCCTTGAATAGCGAAGACATTTTATCACTGTTGGGCAGGGGTTGGGGTGTTGCTGGAGATGTGCTCGTGGAGATTTGGGACCAGAGTTCTTCCAAAACAGAAAACTGTTGGGTAAAGCATTCCTTGACAGCTGCTTAATAGAGTGGTCCAGCTGGGTGAAAATCAAACAAAAAAGAGGAATTAAAATATTTATCCTTCTTGGGATGTTTGCACAGGACTTGTCCTTATGTAGCTGTGTAATCTGAACAGTCAGCCTGACGTAGGTACATAAAGACACACTGAGCTGCTTTGTTTCCATAACTGCCAGTTAAGTTCAAGTTAGTTTTAAAGTGAAGCTGAAAGCCTTGAGAAAACCATCTTGGGACCAAAGCTTTGGTGTAATAAATATTTTCATTCTTGCCTAATGCAAAGCCTGATAAAATGATTGGAGCTTTTTCAGTTGGCTTTGCTCTGGTCAGATACTCACAGGAGTGGGTCACACTCCCCAGTGCAACTGTTCACACACAGAAAGTTGTCCCACCAAACCACTCATGTGCCCAAGTATTTGCAAGACTAACCCTTCCTGCAAGCAGCCCAGAATAAAGAGCTTTTTAATTTGTCTTGCAGGAGCAGTTACACCTGCATTAGAGGAAGCCCCTAAACAGAAAGTTTAAAGCCTTAAGGCACACAAAGTTTTGCAGCAGTTGTTTTTCATCCTGAAAATCACTCCATCCTCTAAACACCCCCAGGGCAAAGGTTATTCAAAGAAATCAGGTCCACCTTGTGAAATTAGAATAAAAGGTGAGAAGGGCAGAGTAAGAGCTGGGGAGGATGTTAACTTCTCTGTGGACAGTTTGCAGAGCTCAATCACCAGTGCCACAGGTTCCTGGGGTGTTTATCAGCATAGGTGTTTTGTGGAGCCCAAGGTACATAGTTTTAAGGTGCCATCCTTATGCTGGTGAGAGGTAATTTTGCCCTCAAACAACCATTTCTTTCAATAATTGCATACTAAGCTCTATCTCTTTTCACCCAGCTCTCCCTTTATTCAGGGGACACTTACCCAGGCACACCTCTGATTAGCCCAAATGCTTCTGCTGGTTTTTCACATAGCCAACCACATTGTTGGAATTGCTCCCTGTAAAACAAATACCAGTACAGTTAGGTTTTAAATTAGTCTGTAGGAAATGTTTTCTCAAGATTCTCTAAGCAGGACAGTATTACAGGTCTCATTATTTAGCAGTTCTCTGGGGGAGTTGCAATAGCCACTGGACAGGGAAAAGGAAATCCTTTCATAGTTTTATCAGCTGAAGTGGCCAAAATTGGCTCTTCATAAATCTTGTAATATCAAAGATCTTGTCTAGTTACATAGGAATAACACTTCCAATCTGATCTGACTGTCTCCATTTAGGTCCAAGAGTTAGCAGAAACCAGGAGCTTTGAAGCCATGACAAAAGAGATCCTGCTTTTGAGAGTCCTGTGTTCATCTGCAAGGAGTCCTGGGCCATTAGCAAAGCTCCAAAAATATACATAGACACAAGAAAAGGTTATTGGATTGTGTTTCTCACCCCTTGGGTGGGAGGCCCTGGTAGAAGGCTGCTCCATTTATCCCACTGTGTCACAGCTGGAGTTACTGATTCTCAGGAGTGCAGTCAGGGCACTGCACATCTCAAAATAAGATCTTTTGACCAAGGCATAGAGTCGAGGCTCAAGATTCTCTTTTTGCTAGGTACAACCCTTCATTCCACAAGCAGCAAATTCTTTGTAAGCAATGCAATAGCTATAGAGCCTAAAAATAGCAAATGCTACATGCCAGCAGCTTACCAAAATATTCCTTGTAATATTTATGCCTCAGGTTGCGTCCATCTGAAAAAGAAGGTGTGTACAGCACAGAGAAGTTACAAATATGGAAATAATAACCTCAGAAACAGGAAAATAAGAGATCTCTATAGCTGAAGTAGTGTAGGCTGCTAGAAACCTCTTACAAAACTGTTCAGATGACTGAGCTCTGTGGACACAACTATCTTTCCCTGAGAGTGGTTAACTGCTGCCCACTAGCACATTGTGTTCTCTTCAGTAGCTGTGAGTCAAGGAATCACAGACTTTCTTCAAGTGAAAAAAAAGACTGGGGTAAAATTTCAGACCATTCATTAATGTATTACCTAATTCAAATTCCAGCTAGGTTCTTCTACTTACCACTTACATAATTGTTTAAGTTCTTAGAAACAGCTCATGTCTAAGAGCCATACAGCTACACATTACACTAGCTACTGTGGATGTTATTAAAACAAAAGTTCTAAAAGAAGAACCACAATTACACAATCCCAGAAGATAGTGGCATGCAAAGCAGACAAGAAGGGTGTCCTCTGCTTTGGGTATTTTGCATAGCTCAGCCAACATCAAGGGCATTAGAAACTGGAGATTGCTGCAGGGTGAGGACTGCCACCCAGCCCAGAGAGCATCAGAGTAGATGTACCACCAGATCTCCTTCAAGCCAGGAGGAGCACACCATCTCCTTACTGGTGTTTGCAGGATAGAACAAGACAGGGAGGGAGTTTTCCAGCCAGCTGACCTGGGTTTCCACGGAGCTTGATGCACTGGCCCCTGTTAGGGATTCCTTCAGCCGTGTTCCCTGGGTTGATGATATGGCACTCGTAGCCTGTGGGGCAATGCAGAGGCTCATCTCCATCCTCAGTGGTACTGCAAGCCTCAGCTGCAAAAGAAGCCTGCAGGTCATAAATCATGGCTTTAATGCCCAGAGGCAACCAAAATATGACAATATGACCACCTTCTTTCTGTATCTTCTCCAAGACAGGAGCTCAGACTACTTCCCACGCAAGGGTACCAAGAAGCTAACGCCTCCCAAGAACCCTGTCAGAGCAGGAGATCCAGTTGACACCTTCCCAGAACCTAGCCCAACATGGGGAGTGCAGATCAGCCCCATCACCTGTAACAACACCATCCCCACAGCCTGTCATGCAGGGTCTGTGCCAGGGCTGGAGAGCATGAAGAGAGACCACCACTTGCACTGATGGGTGGTCCCTCCACTCAGCTCTTCCCCTCAGGCAGTCCTAAGTCTGCTCCAGCCAGTGTTTTGGGCTGGGTGAGGAACCAGGGAGACACGACCAGGAAGCTGGCAGTTTGCTGATTTGTTCTTTGCTCCACACCCATGAACTTACTGAAGAACTGAAAGCTCAGATGTGACTCACTGTGGAGCAAGGCAGTACCACCCCCTGTTACCAGCAGAGGCTTTGACTGCCCTGACCCTGGACATCCAGCAAGGGCAGAGCAGAACAGGAAAGTAAAGCAGGACTCACAGGTAGGGGTTGTGTCCATTAAAAGCACAAACCATGCAGGGACACTCCACCCTTTCATTTGCCAGGACTTTAATTTCAAGGCCTTCTGCTGTGATCCTCATGCCATGACTGATGGTTCTTAGTTCACTAATTACTCCCTCAAGCTGAGATGAAGGTGTTAAGATAAGAAGAAATAATATAAGCATGACAAGGATGGATGAGGAGGAACCTATTTTATCTCATTTCTAGCAGTGCAACTCCAATGAGCTGGAGGCAGAATTTTCCCTTGAAGAACTAGGAGTTTCCATAATAGATGAGAGTCAAGTTTCAGCGAGTCTGATACCATCTGTGTAAGACCAAAGAGGGAAATTTATTGGCTCTACCTGAACCTAAATCTGATCAAAGGCTGAACTATCTTTCCATGAAGAAATTAAGAACTTCAGGCATACATACATCTGGGGATGCCTCATAGAAGACATCTTCCCTTCCTAGCTCCCTAATCCCTCCTTTTTTCAATTTGAGGTATTAAAAAAAAAATTAAATAACAGACTTTTCCCTATGGAATGAACCTGAGAAGCTCAATCTCATTAGCAGACCCCAAGCCTAGAAGCTCCCAGCTCCATATCAGCTTGACACAGCTCTGCAGCAGTTTGCCAGGACTCTTGTTCAAAGCAGCCTTCAGACCTGAGAGCCCCAGGCACCTATGAGATGAGGCCACTCTGGATTAAAATATCCAGGTCTGCCCACAGTCTATCAGGAAGACAGCAGAAAATGTGTGCTAACAAAACCTTCTTCTAAAAAAAAATATATATATTTCTACTTATTTTGAGAACTATGATTCTCTGGATACAAATCCAGTTCCCTGGAGTATTCCCAGTGCTCTGCTGGATAAGATATATCCAATATCCATGAAAAACAACTGATTTACTGCACCAAAAACTAGCCTTGAACACCACATAGTGTCATTCCTATAGAAACTCCAGACAAACACCAGCAGCCCCAACATCCCAACACCCCTGGCAAGCCCTGTGCATGAGGCATGTGTTATTTAGCACCTTGGTATAATTACCAAGATCACAGAGAAGATGATGAACCATACTGTACCTTGTAAGACTTCCTCTGGGCCATCCAAAAGCCACCCATTTCCTCCCAGCCAGCGGGGTTTGGGCTGAACCAACCAGTCTAAAACTGTGAAAGAAACCACAAGAGTCAAGGTGGAGTTGCATAGGCACACAGTTATGGAAAAGTCTTGGGTTGTCTCTAACAGCCAGTGACAAGCCTGCCAGGCTCCTGAAGGATGGATCTGAGTTTTCAGCAAGATATATTCATGTTCTTGTTGTCCCAGTGGCAAGAGAGCCATGGATGATATCCAGGGCCACAAGAACCTGGTGTCTTAAGGGTCAAAGCCGTTGTTCCCCACCCCCCATTCCATTGGCATGGATCAGACACAGCTGCCTTGCTTCTATGAGCATTGATTCAGGTTGGAATTATTGATCCTAAATATATAATCCCAGGGAAAGAACTGGCCTCAAGTGATTTCTACCATTTCTGCTGGTGGGAATCTTGCAACACCATCTGGCTTTGGACACTTTCTCAATTCAGCAATTGAGACCAGAAGCGTGGAACTGAAGCTCTGTCCTCAACTCCCACTCAAACCACGCCTCCCATCCGACCCCCAGCACCCGGGGGGATGGCTCCCATCCCTTCTGCACCCTTCTCCCTACCCGTGGGTCCTGCCCAGACCTGGTGGTGGCTGCACGGACTCCAGGCAGGCGTAGATGCAGCCGTTGTAGCAGCAGCGCTTGTGCCGCTGGCACTCGGAGTCGGAGCGGCAGCTGGGCACCTCGCAGGCACCCTCGGGCAGGCTCTGGGGGGGTGGGGGGCAGCGGTCGTTCTTCTGGTAGTGGGAACTGTGAGAATGAAGAGGGTACTCATAATCCTTGCAAAGAAAAGAAAAGGAAACAAAGGTTTGGCACAAGGCGAATACCAAACGTCCCGTCAGTCGAAACAGGGAGGGATTTTCCAAGTGGTTTTTAAGTATTCCTTAGAGAGGAGGATTAATCCTCCAGCCCTGGCTTGAGCACCCTGCAGAGAGAGGGCTACATGATCACCTTAGCACGTCGCTTTGGAAGCACCAAGCCACCAAATTATTGGGCAGAACCCATTTTGTAATTAAAGTTATTGTCATGGCAATGAGGAGGTAAAACGAAAAAAATCCTCTGAAGTCTTTTATACTTGTCTGGGAAACAGAGAGAAAGACTCCAGGCCCTGTCACGATGAGCACACCAAACCACTGTGACATGGAAGCAGTGGAAATGAGAAATCTGTATTGTTTTGAGGTTACATCCCTAAATGGGACCTGGAACTAATGTCCCATGTAGCATCTGTCTCCTTGTTAGGCTCCTTCGAGCTTTATCACCTTCTTCTGGACCAGAACTTATGGGGAGTCTTTCAAGCTTCTCCCCCATGGGGTCCTGGGTGGTTGAGTCAGAGACTATTTCTGAAACATGAGGTGATCTGGGTGAGATTGGTGTGGGTGATGCCAGTTTAATCCCAAAGAAAACAAGGCTGGGTTTGACTATAGCAGAAAGGAGCCCAGCTGCTCGTTGCACACCAAAAGGACAAGGGAGATTTAAAGTGGATTAACAGGCAAAAAGTTTTACCAGAAATATTTATAAGAGGCAGCATTCGGGTATTATTCACGCTGGCAGCATTTAGCAAGAAGCCAACTCCCTCCAGCCAAGAGGTGAATCACCCAGGCCCACTCCTTCCTCACCTAGGGCTGAACTTCTCACCTCTGGGCTTGAGCTCAGCTCCCCAGAGCAGCATGAAGCACTCAGAAAGGGCAATCAGCTCTCTAATGCATTAACACACATTAATAAGCTCTAATCAAATCAAAGGATGGATTCTGGATTTGCACTTTTTAAAAAGAGATCAGCATCTAGAGGGATGGAGTGTGTGCTGCCATGGACTCACTAGCAGGCTGCTGAGTTGAAGCCTCCTGTATATGCTTGGCCTGATCACTGCTGTGTTATGAAATCAGTGACGAGCATCTGGGATTATTATTCCAAGAAACAACATGGTGCAACTGTCCCTGAGGGGGTCTTTAGGAAATTTCACCATCTGGCTATGGAGAAATTTGAGGTGAGACTAATATCCTTCTTTTTCTACATGCTGCTACATCCTCGTTGTTGGAACCTCCCAACAGCTTTTGTGGAGCCTTTGTGAAATAGCACATCCCCACATGTACTGGCCAAAAAAACTGTCTTAGGACAGGCCCCAGGAGGTCCATTGCCTTGGGGTAATTTGTAATGTAGAGACTGAAGGCAATCCCAGTGGACACCAAAAGAAATAATGATGCATGTTGCTTGTGGTGCTGATATGAGACTTTTTCCTTCCCTATCACAATGGGTTTCACACCAGAGCTGATCTCCCTTTGTGGAGCCATAGCCAGGGGAGACTAGAGAGCAGAGAAGTCTCTCCACTGCCTGGCTGGGCAGTGATTGAGTGCCAGCCAGTGCAGAAGGATAGAGAAAAGTCAGGATGATTACAAGTTTTACTGTCTGTTACAAGGTGTCCCTCAAAGGAAATCCATACCCTGGATGTAAGTATAACTCATTATATAGTATGTATGTGTGTGAGAGAGATTCCTAATATTTCCACAGCCTCCTGTCCTGCTCCCAACATCAATAAACAATTTTTTTTCTGCTTTTTCCTTACTTGTTTCCATTCAGAGAGCAAGAGGCTGTTCAAAAACCCTTCCAAGAGGTTGTTCTCCCATAAATTGATAGGCTGTTTGAATCACAAAATAAGTTTTAAAAGAACCATTTCCTAATTGTGATGATGTTTTCAATGTCAACATGTAAAACAAGGTGTAAACTGTCACATCATTCCATTCCTCAAGAGCTGAAAAGACTCCAGCTTTGAAATAAGTTGCCTCTGAATTGAAGATATTGCGAAGTTCAACTTTTTTTTCTTTGGCTGTTGTTGGATTTTAAATAGAGAAAATGCTTGGGCCAGGTATAATTTTAGGATATAAAAGAACATTTAACAGTAAATCTATGCCATGCCAAACGTTTAAGAGGTCTCCTTGTTGGAAGGAGTATTCATCCTGGAAGGTCACAGTTTATTATTTTATTATTTGAAATGTCAGCTGCAAGCTGAAATGTGACCAAAATAATACTGGCAAGTAATGGATATATATATATATAAAAAAAGCAACACTAAAACAAACCAACCAACCCCAAACAATTACTGCAGTTGCTTCACAGATGATTCAGAAACCAAAAAGCCAAAATTGCAATGAATGAGATTTCCTTTGGGGAACAATACAACATTTTTAGCCAAGCAACTTTGTACCTCATGACTTCCCTGCCCATTTTCTCTGTTCACCTATTGCTCTGAAACCTTTTCTTGCAAAACCTGCCTTTGATCTAATAAAACCATTGCCACTGGTTTCTGTAGGCATAAAACATCCCAGTGGGAAACAGGATTCCCCCCTTCCCAAAATAGCCTGGTTAAGAGTGGCTCCAGGTATGGGTTACAAGGTGTTTTGAAAAGCTCTCCCAGGATTCACTTTGGCTCTGAGCATAGTTCAAATTTATTATTTTTACAGATTGTGACAAAGTAAAAATTCCTTCTGTTAAGGATCATTTTTCAATGCAGGAGGCAAATTTGCTGTTTCCCATGGAGACTTATTAATCCTTTTAATGACAATATCTGCTTTAGAGATATCCAGAAACAAAGTAAGGGGAAAAGTTCAGAGTTCAGCTGAGGAACCCTGGAGGTCAGTAAAGCTGGCTAACAAAAACCTGGACACAATCACTCTCAACCCATATTTTCAATAGCAACTGTGGGATGCAGTCTGTCTCCAAAACAAAGTCCCAGGTCTGCTCTATTATTTCTGCCTGAAACTAGAGCCTGGGTTTGTGCTAAAGCACAATTCTCTGCTCATTCATATTCTGCATGGCCACCCCTGAGACTGTGTGTGAGGTTTATCCCCAACCTCCAGCCACCAGTTCTGCCCCTGACAGATATTTCCAAACCCTGGCCATTAGCCACCTTTTCTCTGAAAGAGTCAGGAGGAGTTTAGAGCCCTCCAAAATTTCTATCAAAGACTTGGAGAAACACAGATCAACAGTGATCAACGTTGTAAATATCAGGCTGAGAGAGGGTTAAATAATCTGAAGGATGAGACTAAAACAATAGGAATAATATTCTCCTGCTATTGACTCTGGATTAGCATCCTTGGTTCTGGTGTGTGTAATACTGGGAGATTATGGCAAAATTATTGTGGGCTCAAAGAAGATGCATGATATTGATTAGAGGGCTGGAAAAGAGGGAACACAGAGCAAGACTTTGAAGTGTTAGAGCAGGTTTCAGAGTGCAGGCTGAGGGCTGCTCTGCTCACATGTTACTCCAAGGCATAGGAGGGACAGAAATCTCGTGGAGGTGTGCTGGTCTGGTAGACAAGGAGGGTATCTCAGTGCTGATTTATGACAGCTAGCTGGAGGGTAAATACACTGTTGGAAGGACATTACAGCAGCTGCAAGGAATTCTACATTTCTGGAAATCCTTAAAAGAAGGCTGGAATGTTTTCTAAAACACTTGATGCAGTTGAGACTGGAATAAAATCAAGACTGCCCCAGGTTTTCCCAATAGACATGTGGGTGTCTTGATAATGAATTGAAGCCCACCCTCAGGTATCTCCCTCCTTCTGCCCTTTGGGAACAGTCCACAAACTGTGCAGGGGCTGCACATCACAAAACTTGACAAGTGTCCCTCTGGCTGCACAATACATGGATTTGTTACCAGATGGAACCCAGCTCCTCTATCCCACTGTGACTGCCACTTTTTTCTTCTCACTGCTTTCCCTCTCTCCTTTCTCCACTCACCACTTGACCCCTCCTAGCCAACCAACACCCTTCCTCAGGCACCTTAATGAAAAACTCCCAGCCAGACCTCAAGTCAGCTCCTCCTGGTAACAGCTGCTCATCATTCTGCAGCCAAATTGCTATTTGGTGGATGCTCCTGCTGTAGACTCGGATTTTTGGACTCAGCCAACATAACTGTCAGTCAACTCACCACCTCCTCCCCCTACAGACCTTGCCCATGTGCTGCTGGGGGTCCCACAGGGATGTCTGTGGCCCATCTCCTGCATGTTGTCGTAAGCACCTCCATCTGGAATATCCTTCTGTCCAAGTGACTCACAAATCAGCTCTTCCACCCACAGCCTCTGATTTTTTGAACTGCAGTGATCAAACAGCTCTGGGTAGAAAAGAAAGGCTCTCTCTGAGAACCACTCCTGGTGGGTAATGGAGATGGAGAGCAGACGCCTTCCTCCTTACAAGGCTTTGAGAAGAAGGAGAAAGAAAAGGTGTTTATATCCCTGTGAGCAATTCTAGGTGAGCTGACCAGAGCAGCAGCACCTGGATTCACAGCTGCCAGAAAAAAAACAGTCCTTTGAAGAACTGCAGGTTGCCAGAAGAGGATATATCCTCAGGGGAGCAGGCTCTGTGCTTCTACAGAGCATATTATCTGAAGATCAACATGTAAATTCCTGTTTGACTCCTGTCTTATCTCTCCGGGTCATTTACTTCATAGCTGCTATTGAATTTGAGCTTTGCACTGAAATAGGACACAACATACTGAGGAATAAACTTTCAAGTAAGCAGTTCTGCAGCAAACAGCTCTTCACCATTTTGCAATTCAAGTGCAAACCAGATGATGCCCTGTCCCAAGGGAGGCTACAATGAACCAAAAAATCTTGTTGTAAAATACTGGGGTGCCTTTCAAATATTAGCCCAATATTTTCTGCAGAGTTTCTGAGATGAGCACCGTATTTCACTTCATTCAGCATGGGCAAAAGATGTGCCCACTTCTGAGTCAGCAGTTCCACAAGCCACCCATAGCTGTCCCCAAACATCACTCTAGATGTCACGGGCAAAAAAGCATCCTTTTAAAATTTAAAACTGTTATATGTGGCTGCAAAAAAAAACCCAACAGGTAGAGGGATCCCCAAGTGACACCAAGGAGATACTAATGCACGTGCAATGGCTGGAAGATGCAATAGGACCTGAGCATGAGAAAACAGACTGGCTGGGGCTTCCACCTAAGTGACTCAAAGGGCAGAAGCCTTGGGTCAGTGTGGGCTTCTGAGGGAAAATTTCAAATTCACGTTGTTTATTATTTTCCTTCCCCACCTCCCTCCCGCCCCAGTTTCCTCTGTGGCCATTTCTAACAGACTTTTGGTCCAGACACACCAGAACAAGACCCAGCACCATTGTGTTCTCCACTCACAGCAGCTTGTTGCAGCTTCAGTTCCAGTACTATGACTCTAAGCCCCACTGCAGAGCTGGAAAGGGTGGGTGAGCTCAGTACCCCATGCAAGGCTGCCCAGAGCAGGCAGGGACAGCTGGTGGCACTGGGCAGCAGCTGCCAGGGTGTGGGAGCTGAGGGGAGTCAGACAACACGCCAGGCAAGGCACAGCCAGAAGAATGGATTTCTCTGATTGTCTCCTTACATCCATTAAGGTGATCAACACTGTGCATCTGGAGCTTTGCAGACCCCTAGGCAATGCCACCATCCCTCCAGCACACAGCATCAGTAGAAGCTGGAGATGTTTACCCCAAAAAGCAGTGGAGGAACTGGGCAGGAAACCTTCCTCCTTGACTCTAAGCAATAAATCACCTTGCCATCTTCCCACTAAATCTACCCCAGGACCCGTAGTTTCTGCATCCCCCTTCTCCCCATCCACTTCCCCACTGCCCTGGGATGTTTTTTGGGGAAGCAGTGACCGCTGCCAGACCAGTGTCTTCTCCCAGCTCCAAGCTCTCCCAGTTCCCCCTTACAGCAGCTAGGTGGCAAAAGTTTAGTCCAGCCTGGGAAACTTAATGCAACCTTTTTAGAAAGAGACAGCCCGGGGCTTCAACTACTTCTTATTTAAAAGGAGAGAACCCAGAGAAGCCCTTTCCCGGGGTGCTGCCCCCGATCCCCCCAGCCCCCTTCACTCACCTCGTACTTCTCCGTCATCCTCAGATGCAGAGCACGCTTCCAGAGGCTCCTGGAGCAGCCCAAATCCGGCAGCAGGACGAAGACACACAAGGCTGTGGTGAAGATCTTTTTACAGAAAGGCATCTCGGCCAGCACCCTGGAGTCCATTTCCCCAAGGAGAGATGAAAGGAGGAGCTCGGCGTTGGGGATCCGAGCCTTGGCAAGGAGGGAGGGAGCTGGGGAGGGAGGCAGAGCGAGGGCTGGTCGCTGGTGAGAGCTGCTGCTCCCTGTGCAGCTTCTGGGAAGGGGAAGGGGGGGAAAAAAAGGGAAAAAAAAAAAAGAGCCTACAAGCAGAAGCCAGGAGCTGCTGTTGAACTTCTTTACTCCGAGTTAGATCAGGTTCTCGGCTCACATGTCCACACAAAGCACATGCTCTCCTTGAATGATAGATGGGAAGATTATTTGGAAAGATTATTTTTAGACCTTTGTTCCCAACATCTGGCATCCTCAGAGAGCCCCATTCAAAGCCAAAGCGTGGGATCAGATGACAGCTGCCGCAGGGGGAAATAAAGGTCTTGGAGGGGTGGGCTCGGCAGCTTCCAGCAAACAGCTCACCCAAACTTTCCAACTCCTCGGGTCTCCCTTTGTGTGCTGCCCACTGGGCTCTGGATTTAGATCACGTTTTGACAAAGCGATAACTTCACAGGAAGATTTCTTGAAGGAGATGATTTAAAGGCATGATAAACATGCAGGTGCTTTAATTAAACCAAGCTGACGTTAGCTTTCTGCAAATGATTTCAAAGAAGGGGAAGATGTGGCCATCAGGGGAAAACAAATCCCCACGCCTGGGCGGGGAACAGGGAAGGAAGGCAGTGCAGAGATGACATGAGCAAATGGAAAGTGAGGAAGGGGACGTGAGTCAGCCTCTGCCTGACAATGGGAGAGGTGGAGAGACTGCATCTGGGGGATTAGACACCTACATGGACAAGGCAGGCACCCAAGTGCCTGAAGGACAAGAATGGACTTATGAAGTCAGGCTGAAAGCATCCCAGCATCCTGCCTGGGATGGGAACAGAGGCAGGTGCCCAAGAAAAAGTAACATATACACAAGTATAAATACGTATGCAAGTGGTTGAGTCACCATCCCTGGAGGTAGCTTAGTGTCCTAAAAATTTAGGTGTCTGTCCTTAGTGACATGGTTTAGTGGTGGATTTGGCAGTGCTGGCTTAACGGTTGGACTGAATGATCTTAAAGATCTTTTCCAAACGAAACAATTCTCTGTCTCCAACCTCCACCAGGCTGCTGAGGAGACCATCTCAGCAGAGAGCACAGCTCCAGGTCCCTGTCACCCGCTGTGGACCATCCTGCCAGGACAACTGGGGACAACTCATGTAGACAGATCAGTCTACAGCTATGCCAAGTGACTCCCTAAGGACTGAAGTGTTGCCTTCGGATGCAGGCAGAGCTCTGCACCTACAGGCCACTGTCACCTCCACCCAACTGCCATCTGAAATCAGCAGTTGCACCAGAGTTAGTGACAGGTACACTCAGACACCTCCAGTACATCCAGAGCAGAATGCATCACTACCACAGGACTTCAGTTTGTGGCTTTATTTTTTCTTGTTCAGGGAACTTTGTCTGACACCACAGGATGTCTCCAGTTCCTTCAAAAACAAATCTCCCCTCCCTGTTGCAATATTCATGTCTGCACCTTGATAAAGCACCTTTTAGGCACAACCAGGAGCTCCCACAAATGTCCTGACTCCTGTGTTGTAGGGTGACAAACCACATGGCTGGTTGCACAGAATAAACAGGACTTTTTTTTTGTAGGGTATTCCCACTTAATTTATGTCTTTGTGCTGATATTTCACTTGTCAGTGCTGTTGCTGAAACCCAAACCAGTGTGAAACAACAATGGTTCATGATAAAGCTCCCTAGTTTAATATCTTTTTTGTTGTTTCGTATACTTGCAATCTGGACTTGGAGCAACTCATTCTAAAGACTAAAAGGCTACTTCAAATACCATCCACTGGCCTTTCTTTTGCCAAGTGTGTAGCTTTGACATTTACCCAGGAGAAACTAGGGTCTGTGCCATTACAGTTCATGGATTGCACCCCAAAGAACTGAGAAGTTTCCTGAAGGATCAAACTTCAACAGCTGGTCATGGTCTTCACAGAAAAAAAGAATGTTGATGTTGTAACACTTAGGCCTCCTGCACACAACCACTAACTTCCCAAAGAACGGCATGCAATGCCTGGACTGGATTATTCCTACTGTCAGCTGGGGAAACTGAGGCACAGGGTGGGTGATTTGCTGAAATTAGACCTTGTTCCACCAGCACGACCAAACTGCTAGAGTGATAACAGCTCAGCCCAGGCCAGGGCTCACATTCAACAGGGAATTCTTCATCCCAACCATTTCCATTTTTCACATGCTTCTCCCTCCAGTCTGTTGTGGAAACTAGGCAAGGGATTTTACATTTTTTATAGGATTAAGAAAAACTTCTTTAGCTGGCAACATGGGAAAGAATATATCTCTCACCTTTTTTGGATATTCTTCCTCTTGACAGTCCCTGGCAGGGCTGTGTCATCACAGGACAACTGTAGGACAGCTTTAGCCCTTTTCATATCTGCCTAAACCAAAAGAGACTTTAGTCTACTGAGTTACAGAGACTTCTCACCCCACTACAGAGCAGTTCATGTCTTATCAAGTTCACTTTTGAATAGCCCATTCAGAAAAAGAAAAGGAAAAAAAAAAACACCCAGTGAAGCAGCTTTGACTTCCTGAACAATTTCTTGTTGAACAAAGTAGTTCTCGGCAGGTTTATGCCTCCAGCCATTAGTATAAAGCCTTATTAGCAGCTTGTGAAGTAATTATAGCAATCAGGCACAAATCCTCAGCAAACACAGCCACTGGCAATAATTAGAAATTTAATATTTAAAATTTACTGCTAAGCAGATTTCCGAGTTGTTACTTTAAATGCTAGTTATTTGATGACATATGATGTTTCTTTAAAACTGTTATCACAAGAAAGCAAGAAAATTAACTGCCATTTTCCCTTAAACTACATCTTATCTACATGCAACAGTTGGGCCACATTCATTTAAGCAGAGCAACTCCCTCTGGTGATGGTTCCATCCATATAAAGCTGCTGGATGGCTATCCTATGCAAAGTGGAATAAGTGCTGCTGGTTTAAGACATCCTTGTATTATTTTAATGCCTTGGCTAGATTTGGCTCCTGCTTGTCTGAAATCCTGGGCATTCAGCAGGCAGGCAGTTAGTTGGAGAGCTGGAGAAAAGCAACAGGGATAGTCAGGTATAGAACTATCCATGCTGAGCAGTTAGCCCAGGGAAAGCCTCCACATGAAGAGCCACACACATACCCAGCACATCTGACCAGGTGCTAAACATGTGTGAACCAAACAGAAAGCCAATATTCTACTACTGAAAGTTTCCAGTGTGCTTGGCTGTGTGTTTCCTAATAAAATGATTTCTTTTCCCCCTATATGCTTGTCTAGGGAATATGCAGAACCCCAAGTCAAGATTTCTCTGCTTCAAGATTTGTGGTGCAGTTCCTCACACAAAACTCCCGCTGCCTACAAGGATGTTAAATGAGATGGCTTCATACATCATCACTAAGCAAAGAGTCATCTTCTGTGCATGAACCCATGCAAATTTCCATCCCACGAATGGTTTCAACAAGGCAAATTCTGCAGTAACATAAATTGCTGTCAGATGATAGTGGGAGAACATGACTGAGACTTGAGCAGCTCCCCAGGACCCGTGAAACCTTCGGCGTCATTTGTTACACTGAGGAAGATGTATCTGAGTAAAAGGACAGGCATTTTATCAGGCTAGGAGAATAAAATGCCTGTTGGAAGCAGGATTCATGCAGCCTGGTTAAAATGAATTAAATAATGCTTTTTAAAAACGTTCTCAGGAAGGCTCTGAGTGAAAGTCACGGTGTGTTTGTGCAGCCGAGGAAAAATGCCACTCTCCAGCCAAAAAACAAGTGAGGTAGGTCAGCCTAAGCCAAGACTTCCCTTTTCCCAGAGGAAAGATTTGACTTTTAAAGCAAGACTGTGTCAAAGAGAGAGTTTTCTCAGGGCACACAACTCCAGCAGCACGAGGTGACTCATTTTTAGCTTGATATAATCACAGCACCTTCATGCCAGGAGCTGCTGCAATCCCTTATCCGTGGCACTTGCAGGCCTGCTGTTTCCTCCCCAGCTTTGGACAGGTTCTGCTGCCAAGAGCAAAGGGCACTGGATTTCTGGGGATTAAGCAGGTTAGGGATTGTTGCTGTCACCTGGTCTGGTTGGAAGGCGAGGTTACAGCTGCTCTGCCCCCCCATCTGCACACCCAGCTGCTGGGGGCCAGCCCAGGGGGTCCTGCCTGATGTACCACTTGGGAACGGGGTTTATGTGGTTTGGGGGAGACCTGCAGGTGGGTGCTGGGATCAGCAAAGGCTGGTGGAGCACTTCCCAGGGCTTCTTATGGGTCAGATATCTCAGGAGAACAACCCCACTGATCAGAGCGACAAAACCCCAAGCTAAGGCTCCTCCCAGCTGCCTTGTGAAGGCCCTGGCTCAATTTACCACTCAGACTTCCAATCAGTTTTAGGGATTTAGCAAAAGCAAGTAAATGCAGAGTGTGTTTGTGGTGAATATGAGCTCTGAGAAACCAATTCAGCTTCCCTCAGCTAAACATACTACATGAAATTCAGGGAAGCCAATGGGAAGCTCCAGACTCCCCAGCAATGATAGATGGCATCACTTCTATCCCCATAGTCATCCCTCCAACCTGTGCTTTCTGTTAGCTATCTGAAAGCAGCAATATTGTAATTGTTGGGTGTTTTCTTGCCTAAGAGCCCAGCCAGTGAGTGGGATTGCTCACTGCAGGGACTGGCAGCAGGGTCCCTTACACGTGCCCACCCAGTGGGGTGAAGGTGATCATCAACAAGTAAAAGGAACAGCAGCACCTCAAGGGGTGATGCTGAATGCAGATGATACACCCCCCACACCCAGGCCATTATTTTATGACCAACTCTACAGGAAGACACCAAATCTGGGTTTTCATTCCTTCTCTGAGCAGGAAAAGCTGGCTATTGTGTCTGTGCCAGATGTTTGCTACCAGTGAACTCCACTGGGAATTTATAGGATGAAATAAAAGATCAAAAACAATTCAGAACACAGACAGGTGATTCTCT